GATGGAGAGGGGGTAGCCGGAGACACCTGCCGCCTGCGGCCGGTCGACTGGCCCCGGGCCAAGCGTCGCAGAAGGTGCTTGGCCCGCCCGTCCTTTATGTGAAGGTGGGCCCAACGAAAGGCAAAAAAGGCAAATATCTGAAGAAGGTGTGAAAAGGGCGTGGCGCAGAAGGTGTCAGGAGAAAGGCTGGACTAGAGGAAAGATCAACTGGGATGAAAAGTTCTGGGAGAAACGTTAACGACCTCAGGGTGGGGGTGATCTCGCCAGGTAGACCAGGCAGGACACGCGGCCGGATGTGCTCGTTCTGCTCTACTGCACAGCTGCGGTAAAAAGAGTCTCGCAAGTCGGAGAATACAGTTCTCCCGCCGTCCCCCTTAGAGCCCGAGAACTGAGGGAGGGTCTCACCGGACCTTCCTGCCCCTCCCTACGCAGGTGCGGGCTATGCCCTCTCTTATCTGGCCCTCCCCTAGGCAGCTTCTCTTCGCCCCAAGGTCTCCCAAGGCCTTTCCCACCTGCCATCACACAGGCACAGCCTTGGCAGCACCGTTTCCTCCTTCAGTCCCCATCTCCCCCCTCCATAAATTCAACTTCTTCCTAAAAGCCCAGATTCTTGCTTTGAAATCCACTCCTTTGTTTTACCCACCCACAGTGTCCAACTGGAATACCTAAATATACACCAAGTAGTAGCAGGCAAGTATTAGAAGTCCCAGTAAGAATTGTGTGCCCCATATCCTGAAATTAAGTAGTTTGTGAAGGTAACCAAGTCCAGTGCCAAGAGCTGGTGATGTTTGCTCTCTGATAGTAATCAGATCAAATGCTTTTAATTACAGTTAATGGCCAGCAAAAGTATGATTGGCATGTTCCGTTCCACATTTCCACTCTGGTTCACAACAAAACGAAACAAAAGCCGCATGTTTCCCCGGCAGGACGAGAGCTTTCCCACTTGGGCAGCAGGGAGCAGCTCTGAAACTTTACTGATTGGCAAAACCACTTGAGCCAAAGAGGATCTTCCGTGGCACGAAGAACCAGACAGCTGAAATGTTGTGTCAGGCTTGTTAATTCTGCACCAGGCCAGAGAAAAGAGCTCCAAGCGTGAAAGTCAGAGTTACCCGTTCTCAGACTAGGTGTCCTTTTAATGGCACGGTTTGAGAAGTTTCCCAGGTGGAGGACGTGGCTGGGTGTAAGCTCCTGGCTTAGGGCCTCTGTGGGACACATCACTCTTTCCATCCCGGGAAGGGCTTTTTGTTCCTGCACCAGTGTGGATATCCACACGTGCTCCTTGCGGCGATGGCTGTAGCTCTACCAGTCACTGCAGTAAGGGAACGTGCGAAGAGGACAGGGAAACATTCCGACTGCGCCCGGGCTGGGAGTCAAGAGCCCGGTAGGTGTGTTTCCACCGGGCAGAGCAGGCAGGACTCCCTGGGCGAGAGGGGTTGTTGGCAGCGTGGGGTTGGGGATCCCTTCAATTCAATGCAGTCTGTGTCATGCAGGCGAGGGAGGGGAGGGCATGAAGTGGATCCCTCCCCTCCTCACCGAAGGAGGCGTCCAGGGCGCACCACCCCCTGCCCAAACAGAGAATAAGAACCCTCCCGCCTCCTTACCTGGCACCGCTTAGGAGGGGGGAAGGAAGGAAGGAAGGTAGGGTGGGGGTGCGCAGGAGGGTTAGCCACCCCAAATGCGGGGAGGGCGAAGAGGGCTGTGCGACCTGTAATCCCTAGGGTTCTTCAGTGGAGGCTCCCAGCCCACTGTCCCATTTCTTTGCAAAACTGAAATCCCCAAACAGACGATCAGATCAGTCCACAAACAACAACATGACAGCGAAGGCAGTCAAGATGAGTTCTGAAAAGGCAAAATGGCGCTTAACCGCACGGAGCCCAAACTGCCCCCGCTTGAAGAGGGGCGCTCGCATTTTGTCCTCAGCACTTTGCCTGTCTCGATTCTCATCCCTTTCCTGGAGAGGGCTGCAGGAACTTCATGCAGCATGGTGGGACAGGTTATTGGGGCAGGAAGGGCAGCCCGGTCCATCAGGGCAGCAGGTAGGTCTTCTCTCTGGGGCTTACAGGGGATGGAGGGCATAGTGTCTGGGCACTGGGAAGGCAGGTAACGCTGCCTCCGCTGGATTAGGAAAGGGCAATGAGTGATTGATTAAAGAGGAGGTAGCCCTGCCCTCAGAGCAGACCTGGGGTTCTCCATAGGAGGGTTGGTACCAATGGACTGGAACAGCTGCGCTCCAAAATGCCATCGGCCGGGGCCACGGGGAAATTCCAGGGATGATGCCAAAGTCCAGAAGGGTCTACTAATATTAGAAGTGAACTGAACAATAGAACAAGATTTAACTGTACATTAAACATTGTTCTAAAAACGAAAAAATAACATGCGGAGTTTTCCTTCTCCTCTGAGCAAACTCTTAAAAGGGCACTGGCTATAGGCGAAACGTCTATAGCACCAGTAAATTAACAAGCAGCTCATTCAAGGAATATCCCGCAAAGTGGTGTAAAGGGGAAGCAAGACTGGGGAGCAGAGCATGGGATGGGTTTCTGGTTTGCGCTTGTGCAAGCAATTGTGAAAATACAGCCAAAAGCGTACATTGAACTCAGTTATTTGAGCATGTATGCAAACCACAAATCCTTGAATCCGAAGGCCCTTCCAGACTGTCAGCTTTACCTGCTTTTAACTTGTCTGGGCTCCATGGAGGTGGTTCAGCCCCCTCCCTCCCCTAGCCAGGAGCCTGATCAGCTGAAGGGAAAAGGCTCTGAGCGAACGCAAGAAGGCAGACAAGACAGCCCGTTAGCATGCCAGCCTCCCCTCCCCTAAGCCAGCTTCATCGGAGTTAATGAAAACTGCGAGGCCCTCCACCCTCACGGTCTTCCAGAAGCAGGTGAAAACATGGCTCCCCGGGGGATCTTTGGGACTAACTGTACCTGGCAGCGCCATTTCCCATAATTTAGCCTTTTACTCTGGTTGCTATTTTAATTAATGTGCATTCCATTTTTACTGTCTAAGTTCTACAAGCTGCCTAAGGATTCAGGTGGTAAAGAAATTCCAGGAAGGAAGGAAGAAGTTCCTGACAGTCTTCATGAGGCGACGCATGTCCGATTGTGAAGATACAGAAGTGACGAATGGCTTAACAACAGTAGGACTTGTAAAAGCCATCTTGGAATACTGGGCAATTCCAATTAAATACAATAGTGTGATGGGGGTGCAAGAAAAGGACATGCAGTTCTAGGTGCTTCAATAAAAATAAAGCTTCTAAGCCTCGGAATGTAAGCCGTCCACTTCATTCAGCTTGATCACACCCTGCTTTGAGTACCGTGTCCTATTCTGGACTTCGCATGTGAAGCTTAAACAGTTGCTCCAACTGTTTAAGCTGGGAAATGGGTGTGGGGACCGCCCTCTTCTGGGCCTGGAAGGTCATCCCCTTGCAGGTCAAGGTTGTTCTAGAATGCAGGATGTGGAAACACGGACTTAAATAATAGGAAGCCACCCTGCTAAAAAGTCTCCTGTGCAGGAAAAGCCTCATCCCGTGATGCGGCGGGTGGGGGGGAGCCCCCTTCGCTGGACAGCCGACAGCCACCGGTCAGGGATGCCTTAGGCTGGATAGCAAGATGGCTCCACCTGACCCTCGAACGAGACCATGATCACCAATTCCGGGGTCCGGACTTCAGCAGTTGGGAGAGGAGCCACCTTCTCTGAGACTAGGTTCACCGTCATCGCCCACACCGGACAGTCTCATTGCTAGCAAGGGGGCGCCTTTTCTCAATTTCAGAAGATAAATCAAGCATGCCTACTCCTGGAGGAGAGAGACCCAACCATCAGTGACGCAAGTACTAGCAACAGCAAGACTGCATTACTGCAGGGCATCTTCCATGGGGTGTCCCTTGAAGTCTGTCTGGAAACTGCAGAAATGGGGGGAGGGCAGGCTGGCTGTACAGAAGTTTAATAGTGAACGCGTTTGTTTTGTTCTACATCAGTTTACTTTTGCAAGGCATCAGGGCTTGGGATGCAATCTTCCTCCTGGTTTTGTCACTTCCTGTGGAGGCAGCCAGATTTACCAGCTCATTATTTGCTTCTCTCTGCAAGAAACGTCCTGGGAGGATTCAGTTAAAAGATGTAAAGTGAGCCAGGAATGTCTTAGCAGAGGGATCAGCTTACTAAAACAGAGCCACCCACTCTCTTCAGAAACGTCAGCGGGTTTCCCCTTGTACCTCCCCGGCGTGTCTGCGGCGGCCGGATTTATTCCGCTCAAGCAGGAGCCAGAAGACGGCTGGAAGGGTCACCTGGGGAAGGGCCCCCCCGGAGACCAGCGCCTCCCCGAGCGCCCTCGGGACAACCAGACTTGTGACTCAGGTACACGGTTTCGCTTCCACCCCTTCGCCCTCCTCCCTGCAACATCAGGACGGATCTGGCAGGACCCCCCCACACCAAGCACCAGCATAAAACACGGCAAGTGAGAAGGGGGCCGCTGCAGCCGTCCTTCACTTCAAAACGCCAGAAACCCCGAGGAGGACCTTCCCTCAAACCCCCACCAGGTTGCAAGATCTTAGTTGCAAGACAGGAATCAAAACAGATCAACCCTCCCCTCGCCAGGAAATCTACTGGCATGGAATCAAGAGCCCTGCACAAAACCTTCGGCATGCTCCAAGTGATCAAGTCTGCTCCATTCCCAAAGCCCCGAGTGGCATCGTCCCCTCCCAAGGAGGGATGCAAAATGTTTCACATTTGCTCCAGTTCAAAGCACAGCATTTGGGGCTCAAACGGTTGAACTAGACTCAGTCGTTTGGCTTCCGGACGTGAGAGACAGACGCGGACGTATGTCCGAGGTGCTTGACTCAGCCTGTCTCGGACTTCAAAGGCAGCCGGAATTCAGGCCTCCTCTGAGGGAGCCCTTCGCTGGCTATGGCCCTCAGTGGTCCTTCTGTGCAGGGTTGGGGTCACTTCGGTCCACCTGCAGCTGCCCAAAAGGAGCCGTGGGTGGCCTTGTGGGCCAGGAACCCTCCCTGGGGTCTGGAGAAACCGCTCCCACGCAGGAGGGCCACTCTCCGGCCCTCCCCCTCTGGCCCATGGGGAGGGACAACGGTAGCCCCTTCCCCACTCTAGAGCTATGACATCTGAAGGGGGCTCTGATCCGCAGACTCAAGCGCCTCTCCCCCCTTGGTCACAGCCGTGACGTGGGAGGAAATGTCCCCCCACCTGACACGTCTTTCGCACTCCCCTTGACCAATCGGCAGCCCGCCTCCCGAGGGAAGCTTCTTAATGGTGGGAACAGCCGGAGGGTCACTCTTTGCTCCCCTTCTGGGCTCCTACTGCTCAAACGCCTGAGCACCCACAAAGCCAGAGGCCTCCAGGAACACGATGGGGAGTCCCTGCCTTGAGGGGGCACGGGAATTACAGGAGGAGCGGAGAGCAAGATTTTTCTAGCCCCACTGCTGAGGCACCCCCAAGCTGCCCCAAATGGACTTGGGCCACTCTTGCTGCCTGGGGATACACTGAGTTTGCATTTGTCATCAAGACTTTTGGAGGAATGCAGGTGTGTGTGTGTGTGTGTGGGTCTGCCCCCATTTCATGAAAGATGGCCAAAGAATAACAGCGTTTGCATTTTCTTTTCAGCTATGATAAAATGTATTTCAGTTCTAAAGGAAGATTTACACTTCATAAAAATTGAGAGCTGATTCCCGGAATCCCAGTTTTCAAGTAAGCGCCAGTGACTCCTCAAGGTTGTGATGAAGCGTGCGGATCCTAAGAGGCCACAGAGGAAATGGGACAGCTGCTGTCGCCTCGGGCAGAAGGAAACTAGTGGTCCTATGCGGGAACCGGCTCTTCTGCGCTGAAGGCAGACCCGGCCTCGGCTGCCCCCCTGCAAGCTACTCCAGAGCAGCGGCGAGCCGAGTCCCTCTTTTCTCAGGCGAGAGGCCCGCTCCGGGGCCCAAGGGCAGAGTGCCGCACAGCGTGCGCAGAAGCACAGAGGGAACGTCAGAAGTCGCACGGCGGCCTCTCACAACGAAGGCGTTCTGTGCTGCTGGGTCCACCCCAGCCCACGTGCTGTTCGACAGGCCTCTGGCTTGGCCGAACCTGCAAAGGGAGAGACATGCGCTTGACTGCAGCGTCCTGTAATTCTGCCCCCCAGCCCAGCCCAGCCCAGCCCAGCCCGGAAAGAAAGGAAGGTGATGAGGGGAGGTGCCCCTAAGTGCTCACCCGGCCACAGGGGCCCCGGGGCTTCAGGCAACAGGCGTTCCGGCCCTTCCCGCAGGTACCACTCACCGACCGGGGACGGGGGACTCCTGCCGGCCACTGAAGCTGCGGCCAGTGCCGTCCCACCAGCCGGAACGAGAGAGCTCTTGCGGGGTTACTCTGGGCCGGATTCGGCCTGCACCCCAAAGGCAACGCCGGGGGTCCCAGACACAAGCCAAGAGGGACTTAGGCTACTGGAAATTCTCTCTGGCGAGGGGGACTTCTGGAGCCCCAGGCGGCGCAAGAGAGCAGGAGCCGTGCAGGAGCCGGTCTCTGGGAGTAGGGATGGCAGAGGAGAAACAGCCCGAGCCTGCTCACCTGGACCGGCTGGCTAATGCCGACGATGGACCGTAGCGCGTTACTGTAGTACCCCAGGAGAAACTCTCCTCCCGCTCTGGGGAGCCCCTCAGCCCCAAGATAAACCTGAACAAAACAAAGCCGCTGTCACCTTTCAGCAAGAGCAGAAAAGCAGCAGAGAGGAAAGTCCCACAAGTTGCTCTTTACCTGCTTCACGCCTTCCCTGGAGGAAATTTCATTGTCTTGTACCCAAACGTACATCACGTAGTCGTTTGCATGCTGAAAGGTCACCTGCAAGGGAGATGGAAAGAGCTGTCAGGGGCCATTGGGCCCTAAGGTCCACTTGCCACACAGGTGAGGGGGCTCCCAGCAGGAGCGGAGCATGTGGCGACTTTTCCCGTGCAGCTCAGCTTTTCCTTCAAGGGCCTGGCAAGACTTCAGCAGAAAGAGAACCAAGTTGGGAATGCAAGACTCGAAGGCTGGACGGGCCCCACAAGGCACCCCCCAGAAAGAGGCCGACTCCTCTGGAAGCGCCTTTCCGCCCAGAGCCCCCCTTTGGGCAGGAAGGAGCCTGTGCCGATCTCTCGGCACTCTCTGCGACACGGGAAGATGGCCTTCCCGAGGAGGCGCTGCTGCTTCGACTGCAGCCAAGACTGACCACGGAGGCAGCAGGCTTGATTCTCTCGTGCGAGACCAAGCGGCAGACAGGCTGCAGCATCTGCCAAGGAAGGTGGGGAAAAACAGTCCCCGTCTGGCTGGAGAAGGTCCCGTCCTTAGCACGGCCTGCGTGCTCTGAAGGCACCAGGAACTGCCCCGTGCGCTTCGGCAACAGAGCAGGCACCAGCCTCAGCTCCCCCTTCACACCGCACGTGCCCATTACCTTGTAGAGACCAATCCAGTCCCAGGCGCTGCTGACGAATTCTGGAGCGGTGACGTAGCTGACCGTGGCGTCCTGCTCGGCGCTCCATGTGCCCACCGGACAGAGCAGGACCAGGGGGTCAGCCCACAGGGGCTGGACCTGGAGGAAAGAAGCCGCCCAAGATGAAGAGGATCAGGGAGCCCTTCCCCCTGAATCACTCGCAGCTGGGACCCTACCAGGCTCTGCATCTTTGCCCAAAGGAGCCCTTGGCACACCACCCATTTCAAGCTAAGGGCGCTTTGGCCCTGCTGCCAGGCTTACGTTCCAAAATAGAGGTGGTACCAGGATAAAAAAACCAAAATGCAATTTAATCCGAGTTTCAAAGAAAGCTTACCAATTACCATTTAACAGGCTCACTATGTATTTAATAGTGCTCTGTTAAATGTTATAGCTTGGGACTGTAACTCCATCCTGACCCTAGTCCAGACCAGCCCCATCTCGCCATCTCCATTACGCTGCAGGGCAGGGCCCAGTTCAAACCGCTGGCACCTCTGCCAGTCCCTCCCTCCCCGGATCAGACAGTCCCGCTCAGTCCTTAGCACGTTCTTCCGGTCCTCAGCCAGGCTACCGGCTCCAGGCTGCGAGAGCCCGGAATCAGCCCTTCCTCCCTCCCGAGGGGAAGTCAGCCTTTCCAGTTCCGTGGGGAGTTGGTTCAGGACCTGGTGATTTTATCTACCCCCTTTAAGACTAAGCTTTCCAGTTAGCCGTTCTCTTTCGGTCTGTACCACATCTTGGTAAAGGTACATAACAAAGAAATATTACTAAGAACCCACAGGGGCTCTGGGGCCACACCTTGGGTGGGTGGGAATGACATGTGGCCCTTGGACCTTAAGGGCTTGCTACTAAATGCAGGTCCGAGCCCAGCTAATTGTGGCTTATTCAGCCCAGCCAGGTAAGCAAGCCACAGCCCGGCCAGGTGTGCGAACAAAGCCACCGCTCAGAGCTGCAGGACAACCTTGACAGGTGCTCCTCAGGGACCCTGCAGCGGCCTCTGCCCTGAAGAGGCCACCTCAACAAGGCCAATCGGAAGGGCCTGCCTGGGCACCAGGAAGCCTGGAAAGGCCCCCGCCGCAGCCAGCTCCCAAGCGGGCAGCCCCTTGGCTAGAGCCATCTCTTCCGAGAGCAGCTGCTGCCCTCAGGAAGCCAGGATGCCACCTTCAGTTCAAAAGTCCCGGTGACTGGCTTGTGGTCGCTGATGTCGTAATCCATGTGGCTGGTGTAGCTGCGCAGGGACACGGACAGACCCCCCTCTCCAGGAGCCCCCTGGGGCGGGGGGGACGGAGGACTCTTGACTCTCCAGAGGATCCGATCGGTCCAGGCAGGCTTCCGTTTTTTCTCGCTGCAGAAACAAGAGAGGAGACACGAGGGCAGCCCAAGGGCCCGCAGACACGCTCCCTGAGCAGCAGCAGCAGCAGCAGCAGCAGCAGCAGAGCCAGGAGGGTCAATCCACGTTGCATCAAAGGCTGTACTAATGAGCGGCAACCAGCGGCTAAACCTGGGCAGCTTTTTATTTGAAGCGAGCCTGTGTGGCAAATCCTCCTGCGTGCAGTGCCAGTGCGTAGATGCCCCCGCCCCACGCCGCCTGGCCTCGCTACGTAATTTGTAGTTCTGAATCTAGAAGAGGGCCAGTTCAGAAGGAAGCTCTCCCAGGGCTGCTGCTTCTTTCAGCCGGAGGAAGATCCGGCAACCAAGCAGACACGGGCAAGCACCCTGGGCCGGATACGCGGCAGCGGGCGTAACAGGCCCGTGTGTAACTTTTTATACATTTATTAACTTTTGATCGGTTGCTGCTGTTATTTTTTTAAACGCTTTCTGAGGGCTGTTTTTTGCAGCCGTTTTGTGTTCCTTCCGGCTGTTCTCGGCTACCGCTGCTCTGGCAGATCTACGTGCGCAGCCCCTAAAAAAACACGG